AACAGGATGACTGGTGTGAATGACTCTCTCTAGCAGAGCTGATCATCAATAATAGAGATGCTGCCTCAATGAGTGTGAGCTCATTTTTTTTAACACATCTTTTTCATATCTTCTCCACTGATATAGCTGATGCACCCCATGTTGAAATGTCATGTAATTCTATTGAGTTTGCAGATGATTATATGAGGAAGGTCTGTGAAGTGTTGAAGTGAGCTCAAGTAAAAATGACAGATGCTCAGCAATCTCAAGAGAAATATATGAATAGATGAAAAGACTCAGCTTCAAGCTTTCAATCTGAAGATAAGATCTGATTGAGCTTAGAGAATATAAAAACTAATCATCTGTGCAAGAAGCTGAACATGAAATACAATCAATATACTGTGCTAGAAAAGATAGAATTTCATGCTTACTGACTGAATATCTCATCTGACATTCACAATATCTTTAATGTAAAGCTTCTACATACTGTGATGACAGATCTCCTGCCTAGTCAGAGATAAACTGACTGACAGCCACCTGCTATAGAGACTTCAGAAGGACCTGAGTTTGAGATTGAGGAAATTTAGAATGAATGAATTTACTGAAGAAAAAAACAATATCTTGTTAAATGAGTAGATTGAGCTGAGCCTATATGAAATGATGTGAGTCTCCTACAAGAAGTGAAGGCCTTGAATGCTTGAGAGGCCTCTCAGTAGGCAAAATTAGATATAAAGAGAGCTTTAAATAGTCATAAAGGCCTGCAACAAAGAGGGAGAAGAGAGGTATTATAAAGAATTGAACCTCTAGATTTGCTCTGACTGGCTGACTCAGCCTAGTCATCATTTTGTGGGATGGTTGAATCTCTCATATTGGGAGGCCTAGCTAGCTATCTAATATACGCTATATCACGTGCGGCGGGGCGGCCGCCCGGGCAACACACGCCCAACACCCCCCCACGCACCAAACGTGCGGGATATTATGTCCTCCGCGTATTCAAATCTAGCTATCCTATCCTAGATGTCAACCGAAACACGCTACATACAAGATTTTGCTAGAATGAACTATTTTCCTTGTGAAAGACCTAGCAAACTGATAAAATGTTTAAATGCCACTGTGCCTAGGGGTTTTGTAAGCCCGTCTGCCGCCATATCCTCCGTAGGAACGTGGTCAATTGAAATCACCCCCTCATTCAATTGCGTACGGGAATAGTGGAATCTAGTGTGGATATGCTTGCTGCGCGCGGTAATCGCTGCCACGGTGGTGAGATTGATCAAACCCTTATTATCCGCCCTAATCTGCAGGGGGTCCTTTGTAATAAATCCCATATCCAACATCATATTGTGAATCCACATAGCCTCGCGTACAGCTTCACTAAGCACTACGTATTCAGCTTTGTTAGAGCTCAAAGATACGCAAGGTTGCTTAGAAGATCGCCATGAAATTGGGGCACCTGCTAGCAAGAAGATGAAACCTGATGTAGATTTCCAATTGCCATTCAGGGGTCCTGCCCAATCGGAATCTGTATATCCAATGGGTGTAAATGTAGCATTTGGGAATTGAACGCACTCACGATCGTCGGGCCCCTCGTATGAGATGCCTAGATCACTCGTTCCTTTCAAATAGCGTACGACGTGGAGTAGAGCTTTCCACGCCTTGGGGGTGGGAATGGCATTTTTCTGCGCTAGGAGAGATGCCGCACGGGTGATATCTGGACATAATTTGACTGTGAGATATTGTAAGCAGCCAACGCCATGTTGATAATGCTGTTTTGTAAAACCAGCTTCTTTTTCAGAGACAGGGGAGTTGTCAATTCAAAGTCCTTCTTCCATTGGTGTATGAATGGTGACAGCGTCCTCCAGGTGGAAATCTTGCACTAAACAATTGATATACTGTTTCAGCGTCAATTTGATTCCGCCATCCTGGCGATGTTCAACCTCCATACCCAAATATTTCGACGGCTCTTTGAGATCTTTGATCTCTAACTTGCTCACTAATGTTTCTACTAACCAATCAGCATCCGCAGGCTCTTCCGCCATTATGTGAAGATTGTCAACGTAGATCGTCATATAGAGGTGCCTACGGGTCATATGCCGCCATAGGGCGGGGTCGTAGGGGGACGGGGCAAATCTGTTCTCACGCAACAATGCCGTCAAGTAATCGTACCAAATCTTCGCTGCCGGATTCAATCCATATAGAGATTCTTCCACAGCACAAACCAATGTCTGTGGAGCTCCTGCTTCAAATCCGGTGGGCTGTCTCATATAGATTGTTCATCCCAGTCGGCCATGAAGATACACCATCACAATATCAACTTGACGTAGTGTCCATCCTTTTTTCACTGAGATTGCGAACATCATACGATTCGTAGTGTCATTAACCATGGGGGTGTATGTCTCTTTGTGAGATCCCTTTTTCAACCAATTACTGCATGCTACTCAGTGAGATTTTCGTAATATCCCGTCCGGATCAGCGTTGGGGTCGTTCGGGCGATCTTTTTTGATGAAGATCCAACGGCCTGGTGCCACTGGTTTGTCTGCGGGGATGTCTGATCTTGGGATTAGGGTCCAGGTTTTCCATTGTTTGAGATCTGCAATCTCATGTTGCATTGATTTCTTCCAATATTCTCCTACACCTGGTCAATTCACGGCATCCTTGTACGTCTTTGGCAATGAACCTGTGATAGGAGAAGGGACGTACGTAGTGAACAATTTCGCAGGTCTTATCCATTCAGCATCTTCGATTTCAGGAACTTCGCCATCCTCAACCAAGTAGGTCGTAGGATTGGACGCTAGTCCTTCAATGTTTGTTTCATTCGTACGCTCTTTTGAGGGGAAAATCACATTGCTGGTGATCAGGAGCTTGTCCGTCACAGGATTCCACAAATGAAAAATCAATTTACCGCGAAAACCAATAAGCTTATATGATTCTGCCCTGGCAGACAGCTTATCCGCGGGTTTTTGCGATCCGTGGAGGTGAGCATAAACGTCCGATCCGAGCTCGCGGAAGTGCAAAACCTCTGGTGGGATGTTTAGGAGTGCAGAGAACAGGATCATATGAGGACAGTGTACAAGCTGCAATTCATCTGTAGTATCCATAGGCCAAAATTTCAAATTATACAAGACAGTGGAAGTAGGCGTGTTGTTTGTGATCAACACTACCATTTCCAAAATATCCGCCCAGAACTTCTTAGGGATATCCTTTCCTATAAGGACTGCCCTGGCACGCGCCATGATCGTACGAATGCCGCGCTCCGATACGCCGTCTTGGTGGGGGGAATGGGGGGTCGTAGGCTCCCAAATCGTCCCCTGACTGGTCATAATTGTAGACATCTTATTGGAACGGAATACGCCGTCAATATCTGTTCTCATGTACGCAGGCGGGGTGAAACCGAGGTTTTTCATGAATTGGACCCAGTGGCCGTAAAAATCGACAGCTTGGTCCTTCGCATGCAAAAAGTAGATCCACCTATAACGGGTGGCATCATTGGTGATTAGCATGTAATATTTCATCCCCTGGCGGGATTCAATGGGGTGATTGTTCATCTCATCGAGCGTCTTGCCTCCGCCTGCGATATCGATATGCACGCGTTCCATCACTCATAGCGCCCGTGGCATTGGGGTCTGCGAGTATTTTTGTGTCATTCCGGCTTTGACGCAGGCGTCGCAGAATAGTCCTGATTTGGGGCCTTTGATTCATACGCCTGATAGTGGATACTTTGCCAAAGTGATTATCGCCCCAACATGAATATGACCCAGGTCAACATGCCATTCCGCGAGGGTTTTCAATATCATATTCAGTTTATCGCCAGATTCATTGACCGTCACCATCGCGTCTCCATATACGTAGGATTGGGCGGCGAAGTTGACCGCTTTGGACGCATGGTGGATGTCAACTTCTGATTCTCGTTCGACGATCTTGTATATGGAGCTTTGGGGCGTTCGGATCACGGTAAATATGACACCGTTTGGCACTCGAATAATGAAATAAGACGGGGTAGATGGGGATAATTCAAATCAGAAACCCTGGTCTTCTAGCTTCGTGAACGACAACAGGTTGACAGTTAGATTTGGGATCCAATGGACGTCTCTTACCATGATATCCCCCCCATCCGATTCTAGGAGGATATCCCCAACTTCCTTAACCTGTCCCTGTCCTCCGTCGGCCATATTAACTTTGAGATTACCTTCAAAAGACACCATATGTATCATCGAATGCTTCTCGCCGCTCATATTGAAGCTGGCGCAGGTATCCAAATACCATGGTTTGGATGATATCTCGGACGACACGGATAGTGCGATCGCGGCGTTGGCACTAGGTTGAGAGGCAAGGAGATCTGGCGTCTTCTTGTTGTTTTTGTCATCCTTATATCTACCTTTCCCCTTATTATTCTTCGGTTTCTGTCCGCCACTATTCTCATCAGTATTCTTGACGATCTTATCCTTATTCGCTTCCCTCCATCGATCAGTCGCTAACTCCGGGTGCTGGCGCCAGCAGGTCTTATTTGTATGTCCTACACGGTCACAAACATCGCATTTCGAGGCAGTAGTCGACATATTGGACTGCTTGTTATCGCCATTCATGGTGGCAGCGTTTGCTTTAGAGGTCTTCGGATGATCAGACTCTTTTGTCTTGCTTGTACAATTGGTTAACTGCTTCATCAAATTGTCAATATCCATGTTCACAATTGGATCTTGGCCAGTTGCGTAGAAGTCATCAAGACGGGTCTTTACAAACGCCTTCTGATGATCACGTAGGCCAATAAGGAAAAGATTGTGATAAAAATCGTCATCTTGTGTGGCTAACTCCTTATGCCGTGCAACCAGGTAGTGAAATCTCCTTTGATAGGCAAGATAGTCGTTATCCTTGACAGCAAGGTTTGAGAGCTCCTTCATGACATTCATATGTTCCTCTGCCAATGAGACAGCGTATTCCTGGCTGATCTTCTGCCATAGGGCAGCCGCGTTATCCGGTTCTAATACTCCAATCATTGTATGTACAGGTCCCAGTAGGGACTGCAACATTCAATGGTATAAGGCCTTTGTACATACTGTCCAACGCTCTTTATCCAACTGGTTGGTGCCGTATTCTTCAGGTGGTTCATGTTGGTTTTTCATAAGGATATCAGTGGCGCCAATAACCTCCGCGTCCGCCAGGATGCCAATCCTCCATGCTTGGTAGTTGGTTCCATCGAACGTCGTCACGGTCTTCGTATCCATCGAAGCTTGCACCTCCTTATGATATTCACGTATCTCCTGTTTTAGGGTATACGCAGGGGTAGTATCACTCATACGGGCGTTCTCCCGCGCGGTCATCATCTGTTGACAAAACGTGAGAAGATCGGCCGTGGTCATCGTGATCATGCCGTTGGCATTGGGGGTAGGGATTGGGATAGGGCCAGGATTTGGGCTAGGGGTCCCGTCATCCTCTGATTCGTCGCGTACGGGCCCTTTCCCTGTATCACAGGTTGAGATGGCTTCTTCCATTGCTTCTTTCACTAATGCGTATTTGGTTTCTCCTTCGTCTCCTGAGGTGGGCACCGTATCCACTACACCTTCTTCGTAGAGTGTAGGGAATGTCTCTTGGGCCTTTGAATGGGAATGTAGAGATCTCTTTCGTTCTGATTGAGGAGTAGGGGGTAATCTACTCATCTAGACACAAGACTTGGGTATCCTCAGATCAAAAATTTAAGAAAAGAAAGAAAATCAGGAAAAAGAGAAAAATGATGTTTTGTTTTGATTCCTTCGCGGACGCGATCGCTTTCTCACAACAGAGAGTATCCCCTTGGGATCTTCTGATTTTTAGTGTAAAAAGAGCGTTTTTTTTTTAAAGGAAATCTAGTCGAACTCATCCAATATCGCGTTGGTTGCAGCGTATTCTAATTAAAACGTCTTCTTTTGCTTAAAAAACTGCTATCCGGGCCATAACCTGTGGGATGGTTTAATCTCTCATATTGGGAGGCCTAGCTAGCTATCTAATATACGCTATATCACGTGCGGCGGGGCGGCCGCCCGGGCAACACACGCCCAACACATTTGCACATGCGCACATGATCATGCTATGTGAGCTTGCTTAAGCTTGAGTTCTCATCTCATTCTTTTCTTCCCTTTCTCAAGCAATTCATCCTTGTTATATAAGAGGACTAGTCTCTAGTTTTTAGAGCTTAACCCTTTACAATTTGTTTATAAGATAATTGTAAGATAATTGCTATACTATTACTAGATAGTTAGAATTATATTTTTCAACTTAGTGATTTTATATGATTGAGTAATCTAAACAGAGTTTATTTTATACTATTATATTATTCAATATTTTAAAGTTCAGATATATTTTTATATCAATAAATTATCATTTATTTTATCTATTAAATAGTTGTTCTTATTTTAAATTTTTAATTATTAATTTAATTATTTTAAATATTTTATTTTTATTAAATTTATTGAATAAAATTTTTAAATTAAATATAATACTTTTTTTTAAATTTTATGATAAATATCATATTAAATTATTATCAATTTTTAGTTATTTTATTCAGTATTAAAGCTTCTCATACAAGATATAATCTATTAAAATATTCTTAATTTTTTATTTATTTTAATTTATACTTTAATTAGTTTCAATATTTTATTTACTTATTTTAATAGATAGTTATTTATAGCTTTTTATAGCTTATCAGATAAGAATATTAAGTAAATTTTTATACTATTTGATAGATTTAATTTATAGTTATTGTTAATCTTCTCAATAATCCTAAAAATTATTTTATTTTGCTTTATAAGCTTTCTGCTAAGATATTAAATTTGTAGTTTCTGAATAATAGAAAGATTTTATTTTCTATCTCAAAGTTCGACTTATAATAATATTTATTAATTTATAGTTTTATAATCTTTTATATTTTTTTTATATTATTAGTTATTAATTTTTAAATTTTTATTATTTAAATAATATATTGATAGATATTTTTTTATTTAAAATTATTCTCTTTAAATAATATCTCTTATAGTAACTTTTAATTAAAGATCATTTGAAGTTTATATTTACTAGCTGTTAGAAAGAGTGTTATTTCAATTAATTTATTTATCAGAGTTTCTATTATAAATTTATCATTAATAATTACTTATTTCAAATTATTTTAATATTAGTTCATATATAGATAGAGTTTAATTACTAGATATTAATTAAAAATTTTAGTTTAATTATCTATTTGTATTTGATGAGTTAAATAAAAGTTTCAATTTAACTTTTAATCATTTATATCATAGCTTAATTAGAGTCTAAATGATAACAAGAGAACAGCTTCAATTCATCTATCTATTTAGACAACTGCTATGAGAATACTAAACTAAGGATTAAAATATGAAATAAATAAGTAGCTAAATATATAATATAATTAAGAATTGAATTAAATTAATCTTTAGAGCGTAGTAAAGTAGATCAATCTTAATTCATATATAAGCAACTACGCTATAACAATTTGATAAACTTATTTCAGAAGTTTAAGATAAATTACAGTTCTCAATCTAATATAATTAAGTTTAATACTTTATAGTATTTATAATAGCACTTTAGTAATAGTCTTATTAGTTTTTAATTATTAATCATTCTTGTGATAGAAATAAATATGAGTTTTTTTCTTAGTTTACAGACAATTATTAGTATAATATTATAGTTTTTTTATCATGAAATCATTTATAAAATTATTAATATATGCTGTTAGACTCTGCTAGAAATTGATAACAGCTTCAGCAGCTATGAAATCTTATCATAGAAGATCTTTATTCATTAGTACATCAGATAATTATTTATATATTGATTGATATTTTTAATTCAGTCATTTTAGTAGTATCTTATCTTTACTAATGAGTATAGGTTTCTTTTTTTAAAATATATTATTGATAATTACTCATTAATATTTATTATAATATATATTTAAAGAGTAGAAATTTTCTCAATTGATATCATCAATTGTTTTTAAAATATAAAAATTCTTCTATTAGCTTTTTAAGCTATTCATTTTATTGTATTTTTTTATATCATGATCTCAGTAATTTTAATTTTCTATTTTTTATTTTAACTTTATCAAAAATTTATATATTTATATATACAGTTTTGATTTTAATGAATTTCTTGATGATTTATGAGTTTAATTTTTCTGACTTAAGAAATAGTTATATTTAAAAGCTTTTATTTTCTTTTTAAATCTCTAATCTACTTAAAATATCTATTAATATATTTTAATACTCAGATTAATACTAAATTAAAAAGTAAAACTATAAAAAAAACTTAACTTAATATATTTATTATATATTAAAACTTTTAATAATTATATAATACTTCAATACTCAATAATCTGTTAAAATTTTAAACTTTTTTTCTCTCTGAAGTTCTTTTAATTCAGTAAATTATTTTAATAATACTTTTACAATTGTTGATATTTTTTTGTTATAAATTTTATAGTTTCTCTCTATATTACTTATAGAAGTAAAGTAAAATACAATAGAATATCACTATTTATTTTTATATAATTGAGATAAAATATCAAGTATAGCATTATTTAAAGTACTAATCTTTATATGAGTTTTATAATTTAAATTATAATGATAAAACATTGAGGCTTCAAATAAAATTTTTTTTATTTAATTAAAAATATTTTAATAGATTTTATTTTATTCAAAAGATTAATTTTCTTAGTAAGTTTAAACAGTGATTTTATAATCTAATTATATTTTTTTATAAAATACTGATAAAAAATACAGAATCTCAAGAATAATTAAACTTTTTTGACTATATTAAATACTACACTAATTATAAGATCATAATAATCTTCTTTAAATCAACTTCAATATCTTTATTTATAATAATAAATTCTAAATACTTGATCTGCTAAATATGAAACTTATATTTTAAAATATTTATAAATA